TTGGCCCCCCCCCCCCCCACACCGTTCCACAGCTTTTCGCTCATGCTCTTTGTGCATTTTTTGAAATGTTTTTCCAGTTTAGATCTTAAGCTTAAATCCAGCTCAGAGAGTTTGTTCTTTTTTTTTTTGAGTAAGTCATTTCAGTGCACGAACTAAATCAAAATTCAGTCCTCATACACAAATTATGCACACTCAAAGATTTTAAAAAATGTGTGTTAATGTGAATTGTATGATATGAATTTATATTTTGAAATGCTAATGGAAATACTTCAGTTTTGGGTGAAGACATTGTTGGATTTTTACTTTCCCATATTGAATTAAAATACATACAAATTCACTGGTTTGAGTATGACACCCAATAAACTTGCTCTCAAATCATGATATTAAAATCTTACAATAAATTACACTTCTGACCTTCAAACACTCTCTGTTAAAAGCAAATTTACAAAAAAGTAATTATAGACACAAACGTGTTCAGATTCAGAAGACTTCATCTTCACATTGACATTTCTATGCACGACTTTTTGCAGACAAGTTAAATTCTGCCATACAAATAATGCAAATGACTTTACTTTTGTTAAACGTCCCATTTGTTTTGATTTATAAATAAATCCCACATAAGGATGGTCTGTCGCCATTATTTACTTATGAATGCATGCTTTGCGAAGGACTTCTGTGTGTGTCAGCTCTGATCCAATCAGTTTTTGGTAATCACACAGAGTTTAATATAGCCTTTATAGTGTCAAATTGAATAAATGTGTTAATAGCACTGAAAAATTTATTAACTGCACGTGTTAACAAGCAAACTTTGACACCCCTATACTTCAAAATCATAGTAGAGGACAGAAACATTTCTCTAATCGAAAAATGACCTGTATATTGCAGTGCCTTGGCATTCCATCACTCTGTTCTTCTCTGCTCTCTCCTCTCCTTCATTATTTTTCCCTCCTCTTTGTGTTGTTTCCACGTGTTTTTTGATGGCATAGTTCTGCTGATTTCAGGGCTGCCTCGGGCAGCTGGAAGGTTTTAGCTGGCGTTTTATTTATAATGATGCACACACATGCACTGTATAGTGAATAGCCTTTGTACCTTTTTAACTAGAACACCATCTGCAAGCTAAAATCCTAAAATCTTGCTTTAGCACAGACTTTCAGGCTACTATGAGAAAGAGCTTACAAGAAAGCTGAATCAGTTATTCAGTGACACTCTAATATGAGTAAAAACAGAGAACGGCTAGATTATTTTGCTTGTGTGCAAAGGGAAAGGTTTAAAAGCAATCTGCTCGGTGATGAAAGTGCAGATAGAGAGAGTGAAGGAGAGTGGCAGAGGGCAAATGCTGAGTGTTACTCATGCTGCCAAATGAGTCTCACAGTTTCTAATGTACTTTCTCTCCCCGCTTCTCTGCTGAAGCCTCATTTGTGCTCCCTTTCTTTCTCTTTTCTTCTTTCCCCTCGTTACTTTTTTTCATCATAATTCTTGCATGCGTATTCACCATTACCAGCTTCATGTGTTTCCATATCTCTATGTTTGAATGTACCTGCTTCCAGTGGTGCTGGAGTTTTGAAGTTGCACTCTCATGGCAATTCTTAATGATTTTATTTTTTGGCAAATTCATATGAATTCATACAATCTCATTCATACATTTTTGCCCCACTGAGGGTTAGGTTTATAGGTTTGGACCATGCCTACGTTTTTTTGTAAAAAAAAAAAAAAAATCTTTGTACAAACTAAAATATAAATCTATACAAATAAACTTGTATAGTAGTTACATTTTCTCATGAGATCGGGTTGGGGTGGGGGGTTGTTTGTGGCATCACAACATGGTGGTAGTTTCTGCTATTACTGGTAATATTAATCAGGCAGGAAAATAGTAAAATGATTAATATTTATTCATAATTACACCACTTCCTGTTGCTCAAATGCTTTCATTGTTTGTGGGAACATTTTGCTTTTCAAAATGATTATAGTCCCCCTGCAGTCACAAATTTGATCCCTTTAATGGGATAGTTCACCCAAAAATGAAATTTACTCACCCTCAAGCCATCCTAGGTGTATGACTTTCTTCTTTCAGACGAATACAATTGGATTTATATAAAAAAATGTCCTGGCTCTTCCAAGCTTTATAATGGCAGTGATTGGTGGTTGAGATTTTGAAGCAAAATAAAGTGCATCCATCCATCATAAAAAGTGCTCCACACGGCTCCCTGGAGTTAATAAAGGCCTTCTGAAGCGAAGGTAGATCTTATTCTTATCAGTCAAAATAGAGATGGACTTTTTAGGATAATTTCAGTGGTGTCATATCTGAGATGATCCTTTTTTCATTTCTAGTTAAGTGTCAAGTTTATGAGGTTTAGTGGCTGTCAGTTGGTAATCCGGTTAGATGTATTTAATGTAAATGACCTATCAAATTTTTTATTAATCTTATTAAACACAACCAGCATACTTGCAACAGAACAATAAAATTGCTTAGTAACTTAATATGTAAAGCAAACAAAAACAAACCACACTGAGTTTGTCTTCCTTTCAAGCGGTAATACAAGCACACACACACACACACACACACACACACACAGGTTTGTTTTTATGGTTTATGGGGAGTCTCCATAGGCGTAATGGTTTTTAAACTGTACAAACCGTATTTTCTATTGTCCTACACCAACCCTACCCCTAAACCTACCCCTCACAGGAAACTTTCTGCATTTTTAGATTTTCAAAAAAACTAATTCTGAATTATTTATAAGCCTTTTGAATTAAGGGGACACTGAAAATGTCCTCATAAATCACCTTCTCGTTGTAATACCTATGTCATACCCATGTTATTATACAAATTTGTGTCCTCATAAACCACATAAACATGCACACACACACACACACACACACACACACACACACACACTCAGCTCTTTGATACAGTAATTAGCGTTTTGGCTATGAGTCTAATAGATTTAAAGGCACAAGTTTTGACTGTGTGTGTGTTTGAATATCTTTGTCTGCAGAGCTGGATTTGAGTAGGCAATCCTCATTTTACCATGCTTCAGTTGACAGAACCTTAGTGTAATCTGTCTCTGTTTCTCTATTCCGTCTGTTTTCTTTTCCAACTTTTTATCATGCTTTACCTGCAGCACACAAAAGTGTCTAATCAGTGATCCAGAAGACAAATAGTATGTGTGAAAAAATGAGAGCGTGTAAAAGCATGTGGGCACTCAGTGAGATATTGTTTCATAGTTTCTCTCTCGCTCTCTCTTTCTGTCATAGACTGGTTCTTTCGTCAGTGTCCGATTACTTTGCGGCCATGTTCACCAGTGATGTCCGAGAGGCAAAACAAGAGGAGGTCAAAATGGAGGGTGTGGATCCAGATGCATTATGGGTCTTGGTACAGTATGCTTACACAGGTATGTGTTTATCTGGAAGAGAAGGTTTGATTATACATACACTTACTAAGGATGAACATGCACACACTAAAGATTGTCATTAAAATTTGGTGCAAATACCAATAAACTGAAAATTATGTTAGTATTATGACTGATATTAAAATTGTATACTATTTTGTGGCAAAAAAGAAAAGAAAAGAAAATGCACTGAAAATAAATGCAAATGCAACACTTTTAAAATTACAATATTATAAATGAAAATTTGAAAGACAACAGAGTTACAGAGTTGCATTTAACAGAGTTATTAAAATATTATTTTAAAATATAATTAATTATTTGGTATTAAATATCTATTTTAAGTGTACATATTTCAATTTGAGTGCAAGGTGACATTGGATATAATCATAAAGTAAACAAAATTACCATGCACAAGTAAATATTCAATTATATAAAAAATTAAATAATAATAAAGTTAAATAGAATATTTAAAAAGATGGAACTGAAATGAGAACTGAAAATATAAAAATAAAGCAGCTAATTCAAAAGATTAATAAATAGTATAATGATACTAAAATATCATCGTATTTTTCTTTTTACATGTAATCAAAGTCAGTGGGGTCCAGTGTTGTTTTGAACCCCAGTGACTTTCAGTGTATGGGGTAAAATTAAAATGTAAAATTAAAATTAAAATGACCCAACAGAGAGGATCTTAAAATTATTATTATTTATGGGGTCATTACTCCAGTCTTCAGTGTCACATGATTTTCCAGAAATCAGTATATTCTAATATACTGATCTGATTGATTTGATGTTCAAGAAACATTTCTCATGATCAACATTCAAAACAGTTGTGCTGCTTGATATTTTTTGGGGAATATTTTGTTGATACATTTTTTAAGATTCTTTGATAAAAAGAAAGGTCAAAATAACAGCATATATTTATTTTGTAACATAAATGTCTGTTCTGTCGCTTTTGATCAAATTATTGCATCAGTTCTGAATAAAAGTATTAAGTTCTTTCCAAAAATGTATTGCTGACCCCAAAACGTTGAACGGTAGTGTGCTTAATAAATAATTATTAACATCCATTAACAGAAATGACTGTCTTTCTTTCTACAGGGTGTTTGGAGTTGAGAGAGGACACTATAGAGAGTTTGTTGTCGGCCTCCTGTCTTCTGCAGCTGTCTGCGGTGGTTCAAGCCTGCTGCAGTTATCTAATGAAACAACTCCATCCTTCCAACTGTCTGGGCATTCGATCTTTTGCAGATGCCCAGGGCTGTCTGGAACTCCATAAGGTGGCACACAACCACACCATGGTGAGCAAAAACACACACACACACACTGAGAATAGTTACAGACTGACTTAATTAGTACAGATGATATGCTGGCAAAGTCAAAAGGAGTTTCTACTAAACCTCTTTGTTTTTTATCTTCAGTGAGCACCCCTCTCTCTGCCTCATTTTTCTTCTTTTATCACTTTTCTTTCATTCTTCTTTGTTTGTCCTCCTCCCAACCAAGCGCATACTGAAGGATTTATTATCCGTAGTTCACAGAGTCAAAAACTTGGAAGTGAATTAGAGGCCATTATTGCTTAAACTTACAGACACGCTGTATATATATTTTTGTTCGTCCTTCAGCGTTCTGTATTGCGTCTATGTGAGTGGCTACCTCAGTGAGTGTGTGTATTTGTATTCATACACTCTTAAAAATAAAGGTGCTTCAAAAGGTTCTTCACAGCGATGCCATAGAAGAACCATTTTTGGTTCCACAAAGAACCATTCAGTCAAAGGTTCTTTAAAGAACCATCTCTTTATTACCTTTTTGTAATCTGAAGAACCTTCTTTCACCACAAAGAACCTTTTGTGAAACAGAAAGGTTCTTCAGATGTTAAAGGTTCTTTATGGAACCATTTAGACAAAAAGGTTCTTCTATGGCATTGTGAAGCACCTTTATTTTTAAGAGTGTATATTGCCATCTGTGTCCATCTGGCTGCCTGTGCCTGTGTCTGAGGGTTTATGAGTGGGCAATTGAGCCCGTTTTAACAGGCGTGGAAGCACTAGTGCTGAAAAAGTTCCCTGAATGAGGCGAGTGTGTTTAATTGGACATGCTACTGTTCCTCTTCGCAAATTTTCTGCTCAGCGTTTGATGTTCCACTGCTCCTGAGGGAAACTCATTCAAGAAAATATAACCCATAATAGCCCGCCCACAGTTCACAACAGGGGGGTTGTCATGGAGACTGCACTGAAAACTTGCTTTCCATTTTCCATCCAGTTTCCTATCTGGCTTTCCTTCCCTTGTTTTTATTTCATCCCTCCCATCCCCCAACAATGCAATGATGTCCAGTTCTCTTGTCCACTTTGTATTCCCACTCTCTTTCTTATTCTGGGATGTGTGGCCATGTTGGGTAGCAGACCTGCAAAGAAAGCAGGGAAATAAATGCTACATACAAATTCTGATATGCAAACAACAGTATATTCATGCATAGTAATGCAAAATAAATATTATTATCAGATTTTTTTAAGGGAAGAGAATACACTTTAAAAAATCTGGTATCTGAACTATAAGTAATAGTTTATGCTCTGTGGGTGTGGTCCATCAATGTGGGATAATTCTTATCTATCTATCTATCTATCTATCTATCTATCTATCTATCTATCTATCTATCTATCTATCTATCTATCTATCTATCTATCTATCTATCTATCTATCTATCTATCTATCTGTCTGTCTGTCTGTCTGTCTGTCTGTCTGTCTGTCTGTCTGTCTGTCTGTCTGTCTATCTATCTCTTGACAGACGTATATTTATGTATGTGAATGTAACTGTTTGGGGTTGGGAAGATTTTTGACTGTTTTTAAAAATTTAAAAGCAGAAGCAATAAAACCTGTAATATTGTGAACTATTATTACAATTTAAAATAATTGTTTTCTGTTTGAATATATTTAAAATGTAATTTATTTCTTTGATGCAAGTTGAATTTTCAGCAGCCTTTAGTCCAGTCTTTAGGGGTACATGATCCTTCAGATATGCTGATTTGATATATTTCTTATTATTATACACGTTGAAAACAGTTGTGGTGATATTTGGATGATTAGTAAGTTTAAAAAAAAATATTATAAATGCCATTATTGTCACTTTTGATCAAGTTAAGGCATCCTTGCTTAATAAAAGTATTAATAACTTTAAAAAAAAAAATAATAATTGACCACATATTTTTGAACTGTAGTACATATTATATATATATATAATATATTAATTGTTACTTAACTAGTTATATTTAATTATAATTGGTACACATTATGTAACCTGTATCATGCAGTAATAATATGCTGTTGTTCCACATTGTTGTTCAATAATACCCGGTGTTTTGTGTTATTGTACAAAGCTGCACTGCTATAAATTGTGTCACTGTGGCTAAACATCTAAAAGCCCAAACCTGATCTAAACATCACGTGCCACTGATCCACCATTTACATCTGTATGTTCATTTCTTTGCTTGGCAGGAGTGCACGTTTTGTATGTTGCTATGCTGAAAGGCCATTAGACACACACACACACACACACACACACACACACACACACATACTTTGATGGTCTATGCTTTGACAACCACATCCTTGGTTCCATGAACCAGTCCAGATAATCTCTCTCTCTCTCTCTTTCTGTAGGAGCACTTCATGGAGGCCATGAGGCATCAGGAGTTTCTGCTCCTGCCTGCATGTGAGGTGGAGAAGCTTTTAGCTTCTGACGACATGAACGTTCCAGAAGAGGAAACCGTGGTAACTGCTCTCCTTAGCTGGGTCCGCCACGATGCTCCCTCCCGCCAATCACAACTTCCTGCTCTTCTCGCTCACATCCGCCTACCCCTGCTTAAACCCCAGGTCAGTCAACCATGCATCCATCTCTCCATCAGTCAAGCAGTCAGCTAGTCTTTTATTCTGCTGTGCTGTTACTTGTTCAGACAGCTTGATCAGTATGCCTGTAAATCCACATCAGAAGATCATTAATCTGCAGTAATTCATGTATCAGCTAATCAGTTAATTGAGTGATCCAGTCAGTAAATCGGTAAGTCACAGTAATTAACAGCCTTTATTAACTGAACAGCCTTTGAACTTTGTTCTTTTTAAGTAAGTCGGCATGTCTTTGTAACGTCCACAGGAACTTTTTTTTTAAAGTTCAAATAAAGATATAAAACTGTATTTGCTTGTGTGATGCAGCAAATATTAAGTGTACTGTATATTCAAGAGCATAAGGACCATATGATTGTTGGTTATGATGTTATGCATTGCAAATACTTCATGCAAGTACACTACTGTTCAAAAGTTTGAGGTCATTTATTAAAAAATAACACTTTTATAAAGAAAAGATGCATTAAATTGATCAAAAGTGACAGTAAAGACATTTATGATGTTATAAAATATTTCTATTTTGAATAAATGCTGTTCTTTTGAACTTTCTGTTCATCAAAGAATATAAAAAAATCTTAGCAGTTTCCACTAAATCAGCATATTAGTATGACTTCTGCAGGATCATGTGACACTGAAGACTGGAGTAATGATGCTGAAAATTCAGCTTTGTTTAAAATATAGTAAAATAGAAAACATTTATTTTTAATTTTAATAATATTTACTGTACTCTACTGTATTTTTGGTAAAATAAATGCAGCCTTAGTGAGCAAATAAATGAAAAAATCTTTCCGATCCAAATCTTTTCAATGGTATTGTACGCTAATACAGATGTAAGTAGTTAGCTAGCATTGCATGCATGCATATGGTTGCATTATGTGTAATTTACATGATTTTGCCATCTCAGACAAATTTTGGGGATCATAAAATATCTCTCATCGTAGGGCAAATTTTACCGTCTTTGACCTGAAAGAGAAGACTGACTGTAGAATAAGTCAGATTACTCTTAAAGGGATAGTTCACCTAAATATGAATATTCTCTCCTCATTTACGCACCCTTAAAGGGATAGTTCAGCCAAAAATTACAATACGATTTACTCTCCCTCAAGCCATCCTAGGTGTATATGACTTAAAAATGTCCTGGCTCATCCAACCTTTATAATGGCAGTGAATTTTGCTACAAGTTTGATTGCAACATATAATCATTGCTGTTAATAATGTTATTTTTTTACCACACATTTCTGGAATATGTACATCAATTTGACATAGTCACCGCTGACAAGCTACTAAATATATTGTAGAAACGTAATTTTCTGTAAAGCTGCTTTGCAACAATTTGTATCCTGAAAAGCTCTATACAAATAAATTTGAATTGAATGGGAGTCGAGATTTGAAGCCCAAAAAAGTGCGTCTATTCATCATAAAAAGTGCTCCACACGGCTCCGGCGTGTAAACACCGGTCACGAATGAGAAGTACAAAACAAGGATTTGTAAAGAAAACTGTAGGAGGATTTCAATATAAGCCAAGGGAAGATTGATTTTTCTTTGCTGTAAACAAAACTTGGTTCTCGTGAGACAGATGGATGGATGGATGCACATTTTTGGGCTTCAAAATCTCGACCACCATTCGATGCCATCATAAAGCTTGGAAGATCCAGGACATTTTTAATATAACTCCGATTGTATTTGTCTGAAAGAAGAAAGTCATATACACCAAGGATGGCTTGAGGGTGAGTAAATCATGGGGTAATTTTCATTTTTGGGTGAAACATCCCTTTAAGTTTTTCCAAAGCTGTATGAGTTTCTTTCTTATGCTGAACACAAAATAAGATATTTTGAATAATGTTTCTGGTCCTCATTGACTTCCATAGTGTGTCTTTCCATATTATGGAAATCAGCGGGGGCTTAAGGGTCAATAAAATTTTTTTTTTCTGTGAACTATTACTTTAATTTTCATTATGCAATTAAACATATACCTGCATTCCATTATGAATTGCATTCCGTCACATTTCCTGTGTTAATGCGTAAAAATGTGTTAATGTGTTAAAGGCGTAAAATCAAGCTTGTGTAGCTAGAAGCCTTTGCCTTTATGTGCTCGTGCAGAGCATTGCTATTTGGCCCTTATAGTATCTGTGGTCTTTATGTGTGTGTGAAGGTCAGTGCTGTTCTTCTGGGCTGTGAGGCTGTGTACTCAATGATGGGATGCATTTGGAGCCTGGAAAGTGTGATAAGAATGTTGTTGTGTCTCTTTCTCTTATCGCATTCTTCCCTTCTTACACATGTACACACACTCCACTGAAAAGTTTTTTTATTGTTGTTGTCATTTAGATGTGAAAAATATGAAGAGTTCAGATGCAAAAGCCTCTAAGTGCCATCTGAAATTTTCTTCTAAAATGAGCATTTTTATTAGACTCCTATGTTTAGGTTAAGTAATTTTACTCTAATAGCAATGTATAGGTCCTTTTCTATGCAATTAAAGTGACTAAACATAAATATAGGAGCCTGATAAAAAATACCATCAATATTTGTGTGCCAATCAGAAATGTGAAACATGCATCTGTGGATTAGACCTCATAGATCTAGCTCATTTCAACTTGTCATTATACAATGCACATTTTGATGCAATGGGAGCAGACTTGTTAATTGCTACAGATGTCATTGTAATCTTGGTTATTTATATGATTGTGCAGGCCTACTGCAGTGTTGATATTATTGTCATAGACAGTCTGTGGGCGCAGGGCATATTCACATATGCAGTTTAATTGAGCTTCTTTCCCCTCTGAGCTCAAAGCTTTGCACTTTTTCATTTTAAATGCATGATGAATTCCACTGAACTCCCTCTTCCCTCTTTTCTACCTTTCTATTTCTCTCTTCCCCCCTTTTTTCCAAGGTTGCAAAGGAGAAATATTTAAATAATTCCAGACGAGCTATTCTCCCACTCGTGGCTGACTGAGCAGAGTTTGTTCAGTTCCATCTAAATGTAAATCGCAGGTTGTTCTGTGCTTTCCAATGAAGAAAAAACCTTCTAAGCCACCGTCCAGCCGTCCTAACTCCAGAACATTCATTTCTCTTCCAACATGTTTTCTCAGTATTCACGTTCAGTGGAGATGATCGATTTTAGTTCATAACAGATGCACTTGTTCACTGTATGTGATGCAAGCTTTTTCATGAAAGCGATGGAAATGACTAGCTTTAGTTTTAAGCATGAAGAGGAGAAGGAGAAAGGGAGGAGTGGCGATAAAGAAGTATGGGTTTTATGGATGGTGAGTGGGAGGGAGGTGAAAGCAGAGACTGAGGAGGTGGAGATGGTGTTGTATGGGCGGAATATTCAAGCTCTAACTAGAAAACTGTTTTGTGAGCGCAGTGATGGATGTGATTATGGATTCAATGAGGTGGCGCTGAATGATGGTGTGCACACAGATATACATACAGATTCATATCTCAAGCATGGCTGTGTAAAACAAATGCTGATTGATAGGGCTGCATGATAAATCGCATGCGTTTATCATGCACATCTCGTCAGTAAAGCCGGTTCTGTGATTAGTAGTAAATCTCCAGCACGTGCTTTCAGATGGAGCGGCATTTTACTACACAGAGCCGTAGTTCACTGACAAGCTACGCAATATCGCGTTCATTATTCAGCGATGTATCGCATGCGGTAATGAAAGCTGTTTGCGTAGCTTGTCAGAGAACTACAGCTCTGTAAGTAAATTAAATTAAATGCCGCTCCATCTGAAAGCACACGCTGGAGATTTACAACTAATCACAGAACTGGCTTTACTGACGAGATGTGCATGATAAAAGCATGCGATTTATCGTGCAGCCCTACTGATTGAAACTATATCAGTGTCATGATATATCGGGATGTGCTGAATGTGTCGGTGTTGTGTGAGGTTCCCACCCAATCAGATTCACATACTCATTACTGTTTGTCTATATAACCAGGACATTTTATCATGCACATCTCGTCAGTAAAGCCGGTTCTGTGATTAGTAGTAAATCTCCAGCACGTGCTTTCAGATGGAGCATGATAAAAGCATGCGATTTATCGTGCAGCCCTACTGATTGAAACTATATCAGTGTCATGATATATCGGGATGTGCTGAATGTGTCGGTGTTGTGTGAGGTTCCCACCCAATCAGATTCACATACTCATTACTGTTTGTCTATATAACCAGGACATTAAATGAATGCTTTATCTGCACGCTATGCATGTCCTCATGTTAGCCGACCACCTCCCCAGCACCACCTGCCTAGATCTGCTATGAGGGATCTTCCTCTCTTTAGCAGCAGCAGCATGTTTCCTTTCAATTTTATGATCCGAGCAAGGCGAGCATTTAGCAGAAGCAAGTCTACTTGCTCTACAGCAGCAGCAGCATAGCAGATCTAGTCTGCCAGGACCAAACCTATGCACATTCTTTTTACATTAATAAAGATTTTACAATTTATCCCAAGAGTGAACTTAAGATATTATAAACTTTAACATCATGACCTTCTGTAAAGATGCATTGAAATAATGTGTATTGTGAAAAGCGCTATATAAGTAAATCGATTCTAGTCTGCCAGGACCAAACCTATGCACATTCTTTTTACATTAATAAAGATTTTACAATTTATCCCAAGACTTTTCATGAGTGAACTTAAGATATTATAAACTTTAACATCATGACCTTCTGTAAAGATGCATTGAAATAATGTGTATTGTGAAAAGCGCTATATAAGTAAATCGACTTGGATGCTAAATTTTTACTCGCCTTTGGCAGGTGTGGTGAGAAACTGATTTCAGGGTCTGTCTGTGTGTGATCTTACAGAGTGTCTCTATGGGGCTATAGCACTGCAGCAGAAAATATTATGCTGTTATTACAGTGACTATCCAAAGACACACTAATTAAAACCTACTCGATTTACTAGCCAGCTGAGAGAGGATATAAACAGGGCAGATGAGAGGATGAATGTGACGAACGAAGACTCGTTAACAGGGCCACAAGAGGTGTCGTTTGAAGAGGATTATGAGAAAAAGAGAGCGACGAGAGGAAGAAAAATAAAGAATGCCCCGTGTGATGTTTATGGATGATGTGAATATGATTTAGAGTTTCATGTGTTTGTGTGTGTTTGGCAGTTTTAGCTTCTTAAAAGCTTGTTTGCTCAGGAGTAGTAACCTATATAAGAGTCTCTGTATTCTGTTAGAGACCCTGAGGGACAATAGCTCTGTCTCTCACTGGGATTCCCTCCTTTAAAAAAGGAATGTAGGTAGGACCTTTTGTCAGAAGTTTCATCGGAAGCTTGCATCCTCTCTTCATTGTGTCCCCTGAGTCCTCTGGGAAGGGTTCACTCCTGTCAGGTTATCAAAGTGTCTTTAAGTGGATGAGGGTAAGGGTTTGGTTTGGAACCCAGTTTGTTACATAGCTCTTTGCGGCTGTAGTCTTAAAGATTTCATGTCAGAAAAATGTTTTATGTTTTTGGAAAAGCGTTTTCAGGTGGTTTGTGCCAGAACTACGCTTAAAAATAAGAATTTACCTTTTTACATTTTTTTTTCTTTTTCATTCAAGTGAATTTGGGGCATAAGTTTGTTTTGCCCAACCAATGGCAGAGAGGGAGGGCAGTTCTTTTGAGACTTTGTTATTTTTGCAATTCGATTTAGTAGCACAACCAATCAATAAAATAAAAGAACTCTTCATGATCTACATAAAAACATGTAATCAACAAGGCTAAGAGGGAAATAGTGCTTTGAGAAGGTATTCCCTCCTCTGAACATTATACATTTTATAATGTGTAGTTTTTGGTGATATTGGGTCATACAGTTATTGTCTTATCTTCATGCAGTTTTTAGCCGATATGGAGTCAAATCCACTGCTAAGAGACAGTGTGGAGTGTCAGCGGCTGGTGATGGAGGCCATGAAGTATCATTTGTTGCCAGAGAGACGGCCACTTCTCCAGAGCCCGAGGACACGTCCACGCAAGGCCACTGTCGGGGCACTTTTCGCTGTGGGTGGCATGGATGCCACAAAAGGTATTCCTTTTATATCCTTTTTTTGTTGTTTCTAAAGTTCTATATGCCTTAGCTTTTTTTTAAAAACATTATCTGGGTTGATAACAAGGTAACCCCTCCATTTCTCCCTTGTTCACTCTTTCTGTCTGTCAGTCTTTCTCCATTAGTGCAGTGGACTGCTGAGACATTACCATTTTCAGAGTCTTTTAAGTTAATGGTGCTTTCAAGCGTTTCAGCGTTGTCGTGTCCTCTTTATGGTGAAAGGTCTGATCTGTTATGCACTTGCAGATGTGCTGAGATGTGCTCTTCCAGTTGGAAGGTCTGAATTATGTATTGTTTAATGAGGCTGAAGGTGAATGGTATTAACTGAATTCAGAGCTGTGTTGTGTTGAGGGTGAATCATACAGGTGAATCATAAAGGTGATTCATATAATTCATAGTTCGTATTGACTGGTGCCACAGTGACGGAACACTTTGTTCCATTCATGTTCTTCATTGGAATTTCATAATATTTCTTAGTAAAGAGTTCCAAGGCACGAACTAAACCACCCAGCTCTGAGATTAATCACAGCATTACAGAAGAAAAAAATCAGAGAAAGACTGTGATGTACATTGGAACTGAATGGACTGAAACACTGCAATGTACATAATTATACAATATAGAACTCTTGATTTATAAACATTTTATATATACAATAGAATATAATTTATATTTTATTGCAAAATAGTTAAATAAATCCTAATATATTGTTTGGAATTGTAGGGAGATTTTATTATATAATTTGCAATGATTCATTGGTATGAGTTCACTACTGGGCTCTTTTGCTGTGTTTCTTTTTTCTACGGTATTGACAGTATCTTTGATTGGTAGATCCAAAGTATTGCCCACCTCACAGTATTTTTTTAGATTTTTTGCAATGAATTTTGCTATCAAATTTTTTTCTATTAATTATAATTTTTTTGCTATTACATTTTTGCTATTTATATTGATATTATATATTTGTTGAAATAAACTTGTTGACTTCTACAGAACAATATATAATCACTTTTATATGTTGTAAAGTATTAAGCTCGCAACTCATTGTAGATCTGTCATGAAAGCAAAACAGCAAAAACAAGTTCTTTATGAAAAAAGTGAATTGGATTTTTACTTCTGGAACCGAATGTTGCACTGGCCTGTAAAGGGGCAGAACCAGGTTTTCAAGGGTTTTTGAAGTGGCTCTGCAGCTTCCCTGCTGTAATCTTACTCACTCTATGTAATTACTGTACATTTTTAGAAGGTAAAACAAGCTGATTGGCTAGAAAAGAAGCATGGAGACTTCTGCTTCCACAGTTTGGTCCTTAGGGCTTTATACTTCCGGTTGTTCGTTTCTTATTTTAGCCTATTAACTCAGAGATGATATTTCTCTTAAAAACAGTGTTGTCTTACAGTGAATGTATGTTGTTTATTAACTTATTTTTATTTTTTTATTTAATTTTACTTTTTTATATTTTCAAGCATAAACCTCACAAAATGTACTTTGTAATTTTATATTTAATTTATAACAGCCATTTATTTTTTTCAGATTTCTACTTTCTGTAACAATCAAGGCTTTAAAGGCTTTTTTTGTTCTCTGTATTGATATAAGGGAATATTTGTGAAGTCTTGCATGTGTGTACAGTGCTAATAGTGTGGCTTACAGATGGACCCGACTGATATACAGGTGTTTTTAAAACTGATTGTAACTGTTTTTAAAGGGGCCACTAGTATTGAGCAGTACTGTTTACGGAGGGACACGTGGCGGCAGGTGGCTGTCATGAGTGGAAGAAGGCTGCAGTTCGGCGTGGCGGTTCTTGACGACCGCCTCTATGTGGTCGGGGGACGAGATGGACTCAAGACCCTCAACACAGTAGAGTGTTACAACCCCCGCAGCAAGAGCTGGAGCGTCATGCCCCCCATGTCCACTCACAGACACGGCCTGGGTGAGGAATAACATTTGCATTTAGTGTCTTCATTGGACTTTTCATGATAATTCACAATATGAATTGCTTGACACAATATTTACAACCTTGTCAAATCAGTTTTATTATTATTATTTATTTTTTTCACAAATTCTGTGTTTTCTGTTTTAAATGGTCTGAATTCTGTTTTCTGTGTTAGTGTTAGACAAACAATGTGCTGCACGACAGAGCTTTACGGTTTAAACTGAAACATGGATGAACATTTTTGTGACATTCCTTAAAAAATTTAACTTTAGAATTGTTATTATTACTTGCATCAGAACAGATTTGGAGAAATGTAGCATCACATCACTTGCTCACCAATGGATGCTCTGAGGTGAACGGGTGCCATCAGAATGAGAGTCCAAACAGCTGATAAAAACATCACAATAATAATGGATTTGTTTCTTATAAACATGCACTTTTTTGCTTCACAAGATGTTAATTGATGGACTGGAGTGGTGTGGATTTCTTGTGGATTATTGTGATGTTTTTATCAGCTGTTTGGACTCTCATTCTGATGGCACCCGTTCACCTCAGAGCATCCATTGGTGAGCAAGTGATGTGATGCTACATTTCTCCAAATCTGTTCTGATGAGGAAACAAACTCGTCTACATCTTGAATGATGTGAGGGTGAGTAAATTGTCAGCAAATTTTCATTTTTGGGTGAACAATTCCATTAAGACGTGACTAACACTAGATCATTCGCCACTGCATGACCTCTGAACTAAAAAAACACACAGAGAAAATTTTTATATTTTTTTTACATTTTGTTGAATTAGTTTTTGTTTCGTTTTTTTAAAAGCACTGCCGAGTGTGACCTCAGGAACTTTACATGCTCGTAGTCTAGTATGACTGCCCATTAATACATGAATGCGATCATAGGGAAAGTTGTTTTGTTATTGTAGTGTTTTTACAGTGCTGAAGGAGCCAGATTAGCGTCAGACTAGTATCTGACACACTGTAGTAATTGATCATGTTGCTGAAGTTGCACTTCTGAAATGTGCCAGTGTTACGTGTTTAAATCTATTGATTTAGGCAGAAGCAGCTTCATAATGAGTGAAACCCACTCATAGTCACATGACACTGGAGCTTGTGTTTTAATGAAAAATTGTGTGATTCCATTTGAACAGAAGCATAGGTAAAGTCCCACTTGTGATTTATGCATGAAAAAAAACCTTTTTATCTTAGCGAGTTTCCAAATAAATGAAGAGATAAAAGCTTTTCTCTGAGAGCAGAAACACTGTGCTCCACAGCATTTCGATTTTATGAGCTGCTTTGTGTTGTAAGTACATTTAGCTAACAACATCAGTCTACTGGGATCATTTTTCTGGGTGGTTAGTAGGCCTCTGAGTGTGATTTCCTCTTGGTCATGTCTTGGAATGTATTTGGTTTTTAGTGTGACTGACTCGTGCTCATCATCTTCTCTCATCTGTCTGTCTCTCTGGCCCTGTTGCATCTTTGTTTAAAAGAGCTGTCTGTCTGCTGAACATTTCCCGCACCCAGACTGCTCTCAGTCGCTGCCAGTCAACATTTGTTTGGCAGGTCCTTCACTTCTGACAGAACGGAGACACACATGCACATTTCCTACCTGCATATCTTACACATCTGTTTGCTGCACAGTTTTGCTCATTGTCTTTTATGCTCATCAAGGCTGTATTTATTTGATCAAAAACACAGTAAGAATAGTACTTTTGTAAAATATTATTACAATCTAAAATAACTTTTTTCTATTTTAATATATTTTAAAATGTTATTTATTTCTGTGATGCAAAGCTGAATTTTCAGCATCATTACTAGAGTCTTCAATGTCACATGATCCTTCAGAAATCATTCTAATATGCTGATTTGCTGCTCAAGTTCCACATCAGTGTTGAAAAAAGTGCTTAATTTTTTGTGGAAACCATGGTACTTTTTTTCCCCAGAGATTCTTTAGATTCTTAAAAAATATATAAATATTTTGTAGTATTATAAAGATATTTAATGTCACTTTTGATCAATTTATTGCATCCTTTCTGAATACAAATATTGATTTATCTCTGTCTCACGCTAAAAAAAATACATAAATAAAAATCACCTCAACCCAACCTATATACTGTATGGGCATTTTTTTCAACTTTGGGCATTGTGGACCTTTACAAAATAAAGTCTTGTATTGTATTTAATAGAATTCTGTGGTGGAAATGACATTGGTAGAAAGTACATTTGTAACATTTAGAGAATAACATGGAAAATAATTTTTTCTTGCTGAGACTAATTTCAAAACTAGCATTTTATGTATCCAAAATACAAATAATTAAAATATTTGGCATAATATGAGTGTTACAGACTGTTTGTAAATGACACACAGAAAATAAATAAGATTATTTTGTTTCGTTTTCGTAACACGTCACATTTGTCGTGCTTTGCTTTAATTTAAGCACTTCGCCACCACTGTTTTTTCCTGAAGAAATACAAATAACTTTTGATACAATGTTATTGGGGCAAAATTGTACAGTGTGGTGTAAATGATGCTACATTAGTCATACAATCCAGTTTGAAGATGTTTGTGCACCTATGAGTGAGTTGTTAGGGTATTTAAATCTGTGATTTATGAATAATATATGTATCTATGAATAATAATGGATCTCTGTGAAAGTCTAATATGGGTTTGTTGGCAAAAAAGCCAATTTATATGCCACTTGAGGTGCAGAGATGTCATGGTCTACTGAAATATAAATGTAGTTAATATTTGTAAATCAACTTGGTTGATTTCCCATGTCTATATAATTCATCTGTTTTGCCACTTCTTTCAGGTATGACCCAAAGACAGACGTGTGGACAGCAGTAGCTCCCATGAGCCTCAGCAGAGACGCTGTGGGGGTGTGTCTTCTGGGGGACCGTCTGTATGCTGTCGGCGGTTATGATGGTCAGGTGTATCTGAACACCGTGGAAGCCTACGACCCCCAAACCAATGAGTGGACACAGGTAAACACATAGAGTTAGTGTTTGTCCATCCACCTGACTTTCTTGTAATATCTGCACATTTACATTTATCATCCATCTGCCATTTCTTTCGTGTCTCAAGTAACAGCTCCGTTTTCTGTTACGGTGTGATTCTGCCTCATTCCTCCTGGTGCTGTTTGTGCATTATGTAAATGCAAGACCTCCATCATTTTGACAGGAGCACAGCTCTTCTCTGCATCACAGCGTCTGTTATTACCTCTCACTATAGCAACCGGCTGATTTCTCCTGGGCTTCATTTCTCGTTATGTTTTTAGGCAACGTTTCCTTCGCCCACATGCTGAGAGTTCATATTGTTTCGTTTGTAAGCCTTGGGATGTGTGTGGGTAACGATGTGTTTGTGTATGTGCGTGGGAGAGAGAGCATTAGGCAGTGTGTGTGTGTTGACGGAGGGAAATTGATTCATCATTGAGAACATCAGTCCCATAAACGCATGATCATTTTCTCTAATTGGGATTTGTGTTTTTGTTCTAGGTGGCGCCGTTGTGTTTAGGTCGAGCCGGAGCTTGTGTGGTTGCAGTGAAGCTTTGAAATGCCTCCTGCTGTCAATCATCTCCATGGTGACCGTCGTACAGTACAAGCCTCCAGGGCTCTTGATGTAGTGTATCCAGACCGATCTGAGCATCTGCTGACCAGAGCAAAGAAAATAACTTCCTGACATACAGCTGAATACTCCGCTGTGGTCTTCCTTTATGCCTTCTAGTATGTATTTATCTATTAAAAGCAGTTTTTTATGGCTGTGCACATTAAGAGAGACTTCCTCCTTTTCTGTCTCTGATGAACAGGGTTTATTTGATTTAATGTCCATCCATTCGTCTGTTTATCTGTATATCCCTCCATATTTCCACCCCATCAGAAGGCAGGGTCGAAAAATAAGATTTTTTTTTCTTCTGCTAGATACAATTTTTGGTCCCACTTTATATTAAATGGCCTTAACTACTATGTACTTACATCAGAAAATAAGTACAATGTACTTACTGTGTTCATATTGTATTGCAAAACACTTGCTGCTGTTCAGGTGGGATACGGATAAGGTTATGGACAGGTTTGGTGGTATGGGTAGGTTTAAGTGTGGGGGTAAGGTGTAAGGGATGGGTCAACAGTGTAATTATAAATTAACATCCAGGTAGATTTAAAATATAAGTACAATGTAAAAACATGTAAAGTGCATGATTAATTAAAATGTAAGTAAATAGTAGTTAAGGCAACATAATATAAATTAGGGCCCTATTTTTACTTCACATTCACTGGCACCACCATAAAAAATATGATATGTATTTATTTAAAATGTAACTATGTATAATATATACACTACTGTTGAAAAGCTTGGGGTCAGTAAGTCAGTATTTTTATTTACTTCTTTTTTATTATTATATTTTTAATCAGCAAGGATGCATTAAATTGACAAAAAGAGACAGTGAAGTCATTTAAAATGTTACAAATTATTTCAAATAACATATGCATTTTCTATTTATTTCTATTCATCAAAAAATAGAAAAAAAGTATCATGGTTTCCACAAAAAAAATTAATTAGCGCAACTGTTGTAAACATTCATAATAAAAAAAAAATTCCATATCTGCATATTACGATGATTTCTGAAGGATCAGGTGACACTGAAGATTGAGTAATGATGCTGAAAATTCAGCTTTGCATCACAGGAATAAATTACATTTTAACATAATAGAATAGAAAACAGTTATTTTCAATTGTAATAATATTTCATAATATTACTATTTTACTGTATTTCCGATCAAATAAAATGAGACTTGGTAAGCATAAAATACTTCTTTCAAAAACATTTTAAAAATCTTACTGACTCCAAACTTTTAAATAGTCCTGTATGTACAGTATTTGTGTGTTTGTGTGTGTGTATATATATATATATATATATATAT